TAAATATTAATGGCATTAGCAAATTTCTGACAGACACAGACATAATTGTTAAAGCTGGCAGTGAACTCAATGATACTGTATTTTTTCAAATTCACTGTAGATTAAGATGAGCCATTCTTGACAGTTCCTCCTATAGATTTGTATCTCAAATCCAGTGTCATTTCTTTTTTGATAATTTTCATGATCTTTAGGTTATAAGAATCCAGAGAGCACTGGATTCATAGTCTCATCATCAATAACTCATCTGACTTTGACAATCTGTTCAAAAAAAATACAAGCCTTTAAGAGCAAAAGATGTGCTTAAAGTGAATGGCAGTTCATTAGTACATTGGCCTCTTATGAGGTTTTGATTGGTTACACATCAGATACTTTGATAGTATGTGGAGAACTGCATTTTGTTAATTAAAATATAATGTGTTTCCATTGTTTAAACGAGGCAGCCAGTGGTAACTGGTAAATATATGGCATAAAACAGTGCAACTCTGTCAGAGGGGTCTAAAAGTCAAGAAAGCAGAACATCAAAATCAAATTAAAGTCACTTTAAAGTGTAATGAAATATTTTTTGGAGACCAGGCCCTCCCCTATATGAAAACATAATCCTTTTAGTATGACCACCAGTGTGTTTCACAGGAGGCCTAAAAATCCCAGTGCAAGCTAAGAAAATGCTAATAGTCTTTTTCATTTATCTCAGGGTATTGGCAAACACCACATATATTATTCAAAGCTTTTTCATTACTGACTGCATAAAAGAGTTGTGACTTTAATGGCATTGATTTCACTGATACTTGAAGAAGGCTCTCTCTTCTCCCCAGAGATGAAACTATAGTGAATGCACAATATACTGTACTAAGCAAAGGGAGAATGCTACGAGTTATTTCCTTAATCTCTAAGATGGCAACCCCTATAAACACAAAGTGCAGTTCTAGTTAATGTCTCCTCAGGTAAGTGTTAATTAAAGATGCAGCAGTCAGAAAGTGGTAATGGCCTGACATTTTCAGTAAGCAGAAGAAAGGAATGACAAGTGATGTTTAAATCAGTGCATCTTTAGCTACCCCTTTGTGATAGATGACACTAGACATCTGTCTAGCCAAGTACCGCTGAATGAGGAAGCTTTCAAATGAATATGACCTGAAGTATTCTGTTGTTTTCAATGAGCCCTGCTACAGGTTTCATATGACTTGTTTTACCACATTTACAGATACGTTGCAACCAAATGTAATATTTATACATTCAAGGCCAAAAATATTGGCACCCCTGCATTTCTTTCAGATAGTGCACTACTCCTCCAAAAAGTGTTGCAATCACAGTTTTGTCTGCACTAGAACAACCCAAAAAACAGAGGTAAAAAGCCAAATCTGATAGATTCCACACAACTACACAAATGGACTGGACAGAAGTATTGACACCATTTCAAAATGATCAAACAGTTGTATTTCAAGCATGTGATGCTCCTTTAATCTGTAATGAAACTCACAAGAGGTGCTGGCAATACAGAAATCACACTTCAAACCAGTTCAAATGGAGAACAATATATTCAACCTTTCTGTCGTGTGGACTACACTGAACACAGAGAAACGAAAGAAGAGCAAAAAATTGCCTGACGATTTGCGAATCACAATAACTGAAAAGCCTGGATGATCTCAAATCTGTCTCCAGAGATCTGGTTGTTCCTGTGTCTACTGTGCACAACATTGTCAAGACAGGACACTGTCGGGGGTGGCTGTGGCTCACGAGGTAGGGCAGTCGTCCTCTGACCAGCAAGTTGGTGGTTTGACTCCCAGTCTCCCTGCATGCCTAAGTGTCCCTGAGCAAGACACTGAACCCCGAATTGCTCCCGGTGGCTTGACTAGCGCCGTTGTGTGGCAGCCTGTTGTCATCGGTGTGTGAATGGGTGAATGGTGTATCATCTCCTGTAAAGCGCTTTGGCCAGTGCAACACACTGTGGAAAAATGTACTATATAAATACAGTCCATTTACCAAGACGTTTACAGCCCATGGCACTGTAGCTGATCTCCCTTGGCATGGATGAAAGAGAAAAACAGATTGTTCGAATGGTGGATAAAAAACTTTGATCAATATCCAAACAAATTCACGCTGACCTGCAGGCACAGGGTGCAACTGTGTCAGTGTCAGTGTCAATAAGCCACAATCCTGGGAGAAAAACACGTTGCATGCCTCTGAATGCGTTGTTGTTTCTGTAGAGAATTGTAAGGGTGGACAAGTTACTATGTCTGCATTATGCCAGTTAAAATATTTGGTTTCTCAACCACTTAGTTTAGTGTTACACATCTCTTTTCATCTGTACATATACTGTTGTTTATCTATCTATGGAGGAGAAATTCCAATTAATCAATGCTGTTGTTGTTTGTCCAACTGTCCACTTCCATATTCAGCCTCAAACATGTCAGATAGGACGTGAGGTACTGTCACTGTCGAAAACTTATTTGTCACTGTTTTTTGTTTATGCATTGTCCTGGCTTCCTAACCGGTTTTGTGTCAAAAGGTGTTCCCCCATCGAAGTGTGTTTCCCCTGTTTAAAACTGTTTCATGTAGTGCCGCGCTCAGTGGGTGTGGCTAGGATAATGTTAGGATTCAGGTTAGGGGAAATGCATCTCGATGGGGAAACAGATTTCAACACCGGCCACAGGAGTTCTGTGTGTTATCCTCTCATTTTCAGGAGAAGGCTCTCAGGTTTTATTGTTCTGAAATAATTACAGACTATTTGGCTTTATGATGGGTGCAAAGCTAATCTAGAGGTACCCAATATTAAACATCAAATAGTTGGAAATGAGCATGCTATGGGTACTTTAAGATGATGGTGTCAATAATTCTGTCAGGCCCATGTTGTTCCAATGCAAACAAAATAAACAAACATGACAATACCAAGGAATTTGTGATTGCAACAATCTTCTAGGATAAGTGGTGTGTTATCTGACAGAAACTCAGGGGTGCCAATATTTTTGTATATTATACAGTATTCAGACATCTTCACCTTTTGCACACTTTGCATTAGATTTAAATTTAAATGGATAAATTGGTAATGTTTGCCCATCAACCTAAACTCTCTTCAGTCAGAACATCTTCCATTATGTTTTAGTAATTAGGTTAAATTTACATTTAGATAAATAGGACATAATCTGTGAAATTCATTTCTACATATTGCTCAATGCAGCAAGCCTTAATAATTACCCAGTTTACAAATTAAAGTCTTGATTGTTCGATAATTGCAATGAATATGTATAGGGTTCTTTTATTTGCCCTGCGATGGCTTGGCGACCTGTCCAGGGTGTACCCCGCCTTCGCCCGATTGCCGGCCGGGATTGGCTCCGGCCCCACCCGTGACCCCGTTCAGGGACTAAGCGGTAGAAAATGAATGAATGAATGTACAGGGTTCTTTTATTTATTTATTTATTTTGCTTCTGTTTTGTTAAGTTTTTAGCTTCTTATTTTTCCTGCACAAGTTAGTGTTATACCTAATTCACATACAATACAAATTCATTTAATTCATTACTTTTTAATACATTACTAGAATCCCCTTTGGCAGCAATTACAGGTTTGAGTTTTCTTGGGTGAGTCTCTACAAGCTTTGGGCTGTTTATTCCATTGTTCCTGGCAGCTCCTCTCAAGCTCTATTAGATAGGAAACATCTGTGAACTGCAATCTACAGGTCTCTACACAAATGTTCAAGGAGGTTTATGTCTGGGCCACTCAGGGTCAGTCAGAGACTTGTCCTGAAGCCACTCCAGTGTCGTCTTGGCTGTATGCTTCAGGTAGGTAGGTAGGTAGGCAGAACTTTATTGATCCCACAGTGGGGAAATTCCAGTGTTCCAGCAGCAGTAAAGGACAAAACAACATGACACCATAAGAATAAACACCCCACACATATCTTGAGAAAACAAGATCCAGGTACCCGAAAAACCAAACACTGTTGTGTTGACAGTGCTGAAATGCACCACCATAGTATGATGAAGCCGCCACCATGCTGCACTGTAGGGATGGTAGCCATGTGATGAGCAGTGGCTTTCGTTTACCAGACATAGTCCTTGGACTTCTAGCCAAAGGGTAAATTGTTGTCTCATCACAACAGAGAATATTTTTCCTCATGCTCTCAGAGTCCTTAAAATACTGTGGTAAAACTCCAAGAGGGCTGTCATGTCTTTTACTCAAAAGTGGCTTCTGTCTAGCCTCTCTACCATAAAAGTGCCTGGGAACACTTGTTAGAAATGGATTTAGATCCTTGTCCTGATCTAAGCCTGCCACAATTTTATCACAAAGCTATAGAGATGAAACCAAAGCTCAAGGAGATTATTTTCCAGGCCAACTGAATCCCCATGCCTTGTTTCATTTCAACCCATGTCCATTATAACTACACTGAGGAGAAAGTCTACGCTCCAACACTCTCTCATCACAGAGTAAAAATCAAATTTGGTTTGGAGAGCAGATGTATAAGTCTAGGTGTTAGGAAGAATCCAAGTCAAACAGAACAGAAAATGAGTGAACAAAAGCCAAGTCGATTCTCAAGCTCCTGCTGCTACCAGATTTCATATTTCTATCTGGCAATCATGGAAACATTTTTGGACACACGTCATGTTTGAAGGAGTTGTGAAAAAATAAATATGTTCTTGCATCCTGATAAGTGCATATTATCAGTATATGCATATGTCCGGGGTTATCTGAGTAACTGTCATGAAATGTGCTTCTAAAGGCAACAAAATGTTTTCATTCACCACAGGAGAACTCAGGTGAGTTTCAGAAAAGCAGTGAGTGAATGAAAGAAGAAATATGCATCAGCAATATCAAAATTCAGCTGGTCTGGATTTTGTGCTTACATCTGGCCCATGTTCAGTTTGTGACATACTAAGCATTTTATTTAGGAGTCAATGAACCATTTACTGTGATTTCAGAGTCCTTATTTACAATCTGTTGCATTGTGGGTTTTTTTTTTCTTAAGCCACTAAATATCTATGACAAATTCACCACAAAATAATTCTTTGTCTTACCTGGTCCCATGGACAGATGATCCCGCCAGAAAACATAAAAAGGTAACCCATGGCAACCAAGCAGGCCCAGATGACCAAGGAGAAAACACGCAGAAGCTTCTTGAAGATTGACTCAATGCAAACAAGTACAAACACAGTCAAGAAGATAGCCAGTGCTGTGGGCACAGAGATTACAAAGGCCACATGGTCCTCAATGTTCTGAAAAAGGACAGGGTATAAAACAGAAGCACAGGAAAGACAGTAAGACATGTGGATAGAATTTAAGAAAGAACACACAATATGCAATTTATCAAAAAAAAGAATAATGAGAAAACTGGATATGTTGAGACAGATAAAAAGTATAAAATTCAGAAGACACAGACTTCTTCAGGGGGAATGAAACTGCCTGTGTTACAAAAAGCCACTCATCTAGCTCCATCTTCCCTCTTTAGTGTCCTGAAAATACAAACAAGTAAGACAGATGCATGACTCACCCAGAGACATGGGAAATGCAGAAAAAACTGTTTTTACTCCTGTTCTTTGTTTTTTAAACCACAGCAAGGTATCGCTACTAAGATGGTCCTCTTTGCTATATGTCATTTGAGAAGAGTTAAGATGAAACAAATGCCCTTTTGCTCTCTCTGTGTTCTTCATTCTACCTTTTCTGTGGCCCACCCTGTAGTATAACTTTATGGAAAGCTCTGCCTTTCACCCTAGAAAACAGAAAAGTATCACGCATCTTGTCAATGACCATTATTTCTGAGGGAGGAATCTCGAGCCTACAGACTACACTGTAGCTTAGCTCCTATCACTCAAACTGATCATATTTATAGACTTCCACTTTGATGGGGATATGATCAAGAAAAAACTGATTCAAACAGATAAACAGTGGGTAAAGATACTCAAAAAACAGGAAAAAATCAAATGAAAATGAATTACAGAATTTTCTTTTTAATTATTTAACTTATGCATTTAATTATTTATTTAGACTTTAGACTCACACACCCCATTGGAGAAACTTGTCACTTCTGAAACTCCATATACATCGTTTATATTTTGACACATTAATCTTCACCGTGCACATTTTACTCAATAGACTTCTGAATTTCTTTGCTCTTTCGAATGGTACTTTTCGTACCCAGCTACACTGTAGAAGCCAGGGATCATATCCTCCTGTCAATACACAACTTTAAAAAGTGAAAGAAAAACCTTTATACTAAACAAAGAACATCTGATAAAGTTAGGAAAAGCCCTACAAATCTCCCAGCAACAAAGCTGAAGCCACATCCATAATGTATTTGCTGCTGCATTTCTGAAACACACTTAGATGTGCAAGTCCTAATAAAAATTTCAGGAGTTTTTTTAAGGTAGCTGTGGGAGGATAGCACAGTGAAATGAATTGTTTGCGCTGCCAGTCTCTGCCAAGCTCCATGCCATCAGTGCCTTACCAGTTGTGTGACAGGGGATGGAGAGGGGTCAGGATACGGTCGTGCAGCCAGATGCGTCACATTTCCCCCACTCCATTTGCGTGTGCAGGTAAGGAAGACTGTAAACTACACAACCAGACTTTGTATTCCACTATTCATGTTACATGTTGATGAATGCAGACTCCAGTTTTATTTAACATCAGGGTAATAATTTGCTGCCTCTTGTTCATTAAAAAGAACCTCACTGCTCAGTGAAACTGCATCACCATCCATGGAGACAATTTTGCTTTGGCTCCCATTAATTTCAGTTCTTTAAAAACTGTAAAATATACTGCATAATCCAAGTTACTGAAAAATTCTTTAAGTTCTCCTCTTAACTAGTGTTGTAAAATTAATGGTTATGCATGCTGTTAATTTAAAATTGAAATATTCTTTTTCAAGTTCATTGCAGTTTTCAGAAATGACCTAACCAAGGTTTTTCTTCCAGTTTATCTCACAATGCTTCTCTTTCCACTTCTACTCTCCTTCCGACTGTCTCTCTGTGTGTACCTCTCCTGTCTCTCCCCACCCCCACCTTCGCTCTGTCTGTTTCTCATGCACAGTCAGTGCACTGGGACAGGAGAGGATGTGTGCGACTGAAGAGAGCCACAGAGTTTGTCTCGCCCAGAGCACAGCTCCAAAACAGCACAGGATTTAGGTCAGCCAGTGAGTAAGATGGAGGGATGATAGGATACAAATAAAAGAGAGAGAAATATGAGGTGAAAAACGACACAGGCGTGGGAATGGAGAGAAAGGAGGATGGGGAGAAAAAAAAACACCCCCACCACATGGGAGCAGCAAAAGCCTATCCACACAGAAATAAAGCAAAGAGAAGCTAGGATGTAGGATAGATCGACCGAGCAGTGGCCTGAAAGGAAAAGACATACTGAGACGCTTAATCATTGTCAGAGTGCTAAGTAAGACTGGGTGTCTGATTGTAGGAAGGTACTTAGACTTTAACAATTTACCACAACTGTAATGCAAGTGTGGCCAGAAAATAATACATCTAAAATAAGATTATCAATTAGGATAATCGATGGGTTCAAGCACCAGCTGTGGCTAAGGCAAATGATGAATGATGATTAACCACCTAAATATAGATAATAAAAGCACTATCACAGTCTGCAGGAGTTAATTAAAATGCAATTAACTTTTACAAATGGCCAGATGAATATGATTCTTGCAAAGATCTTTGTCTCTTATCTTTTCAATCCAGAGAAGTCATTTGAGAGATTAGGTGTAGGTGATGAAATGGCTGGCTCTCCAACCACTCGAAGGAAACCTACACTTTGTGTTTGATGTTACAGACCTTGCCATCTGCTGGCTCTATGTCACTCCACCTCTTTTAGTCTAACCCTGGCTTGATAGCAGACTCAGCAGAGACAAGGAATGGCAGAGGCATGATGCTGCTAATGGAAAAATAAGGTAAACCCTAATAAGGTTATATTTGGATTTATAAGATAACTGAATTTAAAAATCAGTCAGATTAGATTGTGTTAATAAATCAATGTTCTAAAACTCTAACCGGTTTAAAAAAAAAACAAAACAAAACATATAATCACCCACTGTAGTTAAATTAAGAGTTAAGTCCCAGCCAGTCAAAATGTGCACTTATAAATAATGCTTTTCTTTTTGCTACAGCATCTTTTCATTTGGCATTGTGCCTTGCCATCACTGCATTTCAGGGTTTTAGAGCAAAGATAACCTTGTCAGAAGAGTGACAGAAGAAAACAGATCTCCTTCTGTAGTTCAGTCATCCATGACCACATGAACACAGAAAATAACTAAGCCCTTTATTCCCCCTCACTTTTATTTCATCCTTCTCTTCACATTAACGCTGCCATGAGGATCACATGCTGTTAGAATGTGTGTGTGTGTGTTTACAGGTGTTACACATTTGTCTGTGTGTGAGTCTGAGAAAAGGGAATACACACATTGCCTTTGACAAGTTGTTTTGAGTGTGTGAGTGTGTGTGTGTGTGTGTGTGTGTGTGTGTGTGTATGATTGGCAAGCCAGTTTGTGTGACCCTATGTTTCCTGAATTGGTGACTCTGCAGTATGTGTGTGCCCCCACATGCATACATCTGATGTTTATCTGTACTTTTTTTAATATTCGTAAATAAACATCTGTACATATGTGTGCATCACTACATAATGTGAATGAGCAGCTTACCAGTCCTGAAGCAAAGAACACTGTCAGCAGTGCCAGACAGGCTCCCATCACTATGAGCAGCAGAAACACAATTAGGGGATGCTGTTGGCTCATACAGTAGTAGGACTCGTATAGCCAGTCTGGGGACCTGTTCCTCTTCTCCTGACTTCTTCCTCCTTTTTCCCCTACACCAGACTCCCCTGCCCGGTCCAGGAAATACCGCTTCCTCCTTATTGCCTCTTGCCACATGGATCTTGGAGCAGGGAAGGAGGAAGAGGAGGGTGGGAAACCAGAGGAGGTGGTCACTGCTGGGGTATTAGTTTCCACCACAGATGAGGAGCAGTTGCCCCAATCCGCTCTCATGCTGTTACTGTTCCTGGTGCAAGAGCTGATCTCCAGCGTATCCTTCAGCTCTGCCTCCACCTCCTCTCTTAAGTCCTTCAGGCGGAGACAACTGAAAGCTGAGACTGAGTCAGAGGCAGTGTACGCTGGCTGGAAAGGTGGCAGGAACGCACCGAGGGTAGAGCGCAGCATCCTCTTTTTTCTCCTCCTGCCAACATGTTGGAGTGAGAAATGAAGGAGAGCACAGAGACTGTGCTCTTTAGAGTGAGAGAGAAAAGTGGGAGGGGAAGCAAGGGAAAGGGGGAGGGAGAGAGGGTGAAGGAGGAGGAGGAAATAGAAAGTGCAACATTAGGAAGAAATCAGTGAGAGAGGGAGAGAAATTACTTCACTGACATTGATGCAGTATTTATTACGTGGCACTAATGCCATGTAACTACGTGAAGCGAGAAATATGTAAACACGTAAAACATTTTAAAAACCTGTTCAAGCTCAATCCTGGAGATGATCATTTTCAGAACTGAGACTGCTCACACCACTGCGCCTCGTTTCCTTTCAGCCAGTCCACTTGTTACAAAATAAACCCTTGTGTTACCTTTCCCCTCAACCAAACAACAGTTAAAAGTTTCTGCCCATGTTCCCAAACTTTGTTTCAGAGTTTACTGCAATCAAACTCACAAAACACTTATTTCCATATACTGTAGCAATTTATCCAAGCCACAGAAAATTTCTAAGGGTTGCAATCAAGGGAACAGCATATGAACACCTAGCGCTGCCCTTCAGTCCATCATAAGAATGTGTCCAGGTGGCATTAACACCCCTTCAGGAGAGGGGCTTCAAGAACAGGCAAAGGAGCAAACGTCGCTAGCTGTCTGACTTCATGTTCAAGGTCACCTCACCCTAGGGTGGGACCTTCTCTTGTCAGTCAGTGGAGGTTACACCCTTTGGTGCTGTCTCAAATCTGGGATGGCATCAGTAGGGAAGTAGTGGATTGCTCTGCTTCCAAGGAGAATGTCCACTGTCCCATCTCCTCTATAAATAGGTTGTTTTAGATAATCATAAGCATCATGTTCCATGCAATCTGTGTTGTACCTTAGTCCTCTCTTTGAGAAAACAGAGGTTGTAGTCATAACCTTTTGTTCTATTTCATGCCCTTCCCTCTCTCCCTTTCTCTGCCGTCAGACAACAATCTGCACAAATGCCAGATTTGTCAAAACAGCTCTCACTAGTTGAAGGTAAACTTGTGGCATGATGCTGCCAGAAAGAGGAAATTATCTACCAGTAGAGGCCAGTATCAAAAAATGAGGAAATTAATTTTACATTAAAAATACAATTCAATATATACATTTTAAAATATTACTTATTTCTTAGGTGGAAACGTGGAAACTACTTCATTATGCTGACTCAGTGATATGTCATAACCAAGTGGTTTCTAAAAATATGACCAATTCTTTTGTGCAGAAAGGTAGCTCAGAATGCAGAGCAAAACTCCCACATGTGTACAGTTTTTGGTGGAACACGCTACAGTACGCACAAACCAGGCAAACACAGGGGCCAGCCAAAACATGGTGGAAGTGGTGCTGGCCAAAGCGCTGCTTTTATAAAGATGAATAAATGACTCCCAGAGCCCTCTAATCCCCTCACAACATGAATTACTTCATTTGAGTCTCAAGCTTGAAATTGCCAAACTATTACTGCACAATGCAATAAATGATCATTTTAATATTCATAAAAGTTATTTAAAGGCTCGTTAGGGTTGTCACATGTTTAAGTTTATTCTGGACCAGTGCATTTCTTCTTCAACCTTCATGCAAGTAATTAAGTGGGTGAACAGTCCATCATCAGTGCTTGTGCCAGGATGAGGGGCAGGGCCTTGACACCACCCAGCTGTCCCTAATGAACGTCTATAACTTTTAAAAAACAAGTAATGTTTTCAATAATGTCACGTCTTCTTTGTTTTGAAAACATTGTTGTTAAAATGATATATTAATACATTTGCATGTCCAAATGAACATGTGAAGGCCTCAGCCCTGGTCTTCACCATGTGAGGGCTTAATCCACCACCAGCAGTAGAAATATTTAGGTAATGTTCTTTTATTTTCTTTGTTCATGTGTGTAGACTTTAGGCATTTGATTTGACATTAGGTTTAGACATACAGTACACAATTAATCAATGAAGTATGCACATTTGGTTAATTTTGTATTGTCAATACATTGCTAATGTGTGCAACTTTTCTTTTTGAGTTACCATGTTCCTGGTCCATGGATGGGCGTGGTCCAGACAAAAAGATTGGACTGAGGCAGCAGCAGGTTTAAATATCCACTAGGCCTGGACTGCACCAAGTGCCCAATACAGGAAAGGGGGGGGTTTGGGAGAAATATATTGTTTCTTTGTTTGTAGTTTATGTTAAAACTTCAAGCTGTGTGGTTTTTTTAAACATCTGAAGAAAAATATTTAGTTGTTAGCAGACTGTCTGCTCACTGTATGTTGGTAGATCAAATGTATTATATATATATAAATGTATTATTCCATGTTTTGTTGATTAGTAAATATACCGGACAGACCTGAAAATCATTATAAATAAAGCTGAAAAAAGGGTTAACGGTGCATCAAGCAACATTCAAACTTGCCCACCACAGCCTGACATTAAACTAAAATTACCGCTTTGTGGATGTATCCCTCCACCATTCAATCAGATTCATAGGAATAGGACAGACAGACATGATGTCACTGTCCTTGACCTTAGACCACCAAAATCTAACCATCAGTCCAAGTGGACACTTGAGCCAAACTTGAAAAAAAAAATCCCTCAAAGAGTTCCAGATACATCATGTATCAGTTGGACTAATAAACCCGTTTGTATTATATGGCAAAATATTTTCTTCTGTTCACTGTAGCTCCGCAATGAAACTGCCCAGACACACACAGACATATTCAACCTATTAAGTGTTATTCTTCATGCTCTGCATTGGCCCTGGTGGTATCTATATTCCTTTCTCTGCTCCTACAAAGACCCAATTTCCCCATAAGGATCACTACAGCTTCATCTAATCCGATTTATTTAGTATGGACATTCATTTGGTAGATTTTATTACAAATCTAGAAATGAGCACAAATGTATTACAAAATTAGAGCTTCATATTATCCATCAGAGTAGGAAGGTAAAGCATGACGCAGCAATTAGCTTTGAAAGTACAGTAATGATTAATTCCAAGTATGTTAGAGATGATGGGAGTGGCGGTGATGTTTCATTACAAGCGCTGTTTGGCTGTGATAAAAAAAAGACCTTCCCTTTTCTGCACATGCACATCACTGTGCCTTTTCTTACCACCTTGATACTTACACACTGCCCCACTCATTGCCTTGACCTTCCACCAGTACCCTTCCTCTGCTCTTGAATTACAGTACTCATCTCCCCATTCTGATTCTAGCACTAGGGCTGCACAAATTAGTGATTGATTAAAAAGAAAATTTACCGCAAATGATAAGTTTAAAACCACAATGAAATTCAAATTAAAGACACCCTATGGCATTTCTAGCAAATAAAACGTTCAGTAGTATACTCAACACATGCATCTTTGCGCCTAACACACGTCAAATGTGTTTCCTTCTTCATTAATGGTATTAAATGTATATATTGCTAATAGTCAATATCCATCAGGATAAAAAAACATTTTTGCACATATCAGCCAAACCTGCTGTCCCTGTGCTCTAAAACCTTTCATTTTCTCTCTATCATAATCCTGTCATCTCCTACACTTAGGCCTTCATAATGCCTCCACTTCCTGAACCTCAACTTCCACATCCTTAACCTTTCCCAGTATTTTTCGCCCTCACAGCATGACATCTGAAGAAGTACCTTTTTAACATGCCTCATTTTCTCTTCAGCTCCCACTCACTTCCTCCCTATTGGCAAGCTTATTCCATCTCGACCTACTTTTATTCCACTATCTTACATCCCTTCTCTTCTTTAACACAACTCTCAGTACTGTTGATAGGGTTTGCTGTGGTCGTGTTTTGTAGTTAATGACAGCACAAGTAAAAAAATAATAATAATTAAAAAAAAAGGCTGTTTCAGTAATTATTTTTGCCCCTTGGCAGAAAAACAGTCATGCAGATGTCCCTTATAATCTCTGTAAGAGCCTCTTGCCTGTATCAATTTAAAAAGTCTACAAATAATGACCACACACCAAAATAAAAAATGTCTAGCCAGTCTGATATGGGTCATTTTAATGTTGCTGACAAACAATTCAGTCTAGAAAGCCTCCACAATTCAGACACAATGTGCAATTATATGATGATACTGTACTAATAACATACTGTACGTGGCTGAATATGCATAAAGAAAACTGATTATAATTTGCAGCCATACTCCCTGTTCCCTGTAAATGGGAGCACCTGGCCAGTTTTTTCAGGGTGACTGAGCCCAAACTGCCCACAGGATCATCGTGCCTGTCTCCATGCCACTTGCCAAGCCTCCTTTTGTTTGCATTAACCTTCTGGTTTTGTTCTGCACAGCACACGCCTCATACCAGCCAACACATTTATTTTCACTACAGATACTGACTTCCACGCCTCCTCACATATATATTCTATTTATGAATAATTGTAATTAGATATTATTGCAGAGCTTCTTCATGTTTTGCCTCTTGTTAATGCTCAGATACAGACAGTGCAATGCGGCTTGTGTTTCTAGTTAACATTTCATGTGCAGCTGTGTTTTTTAAAGTGATAAATAAGCTTAAATTCACACAGTTAAATTGAGCCTAACGCTGATAACTAGACCAGGCAGAACAGTCCTCTTCTCGTACATTTTCCTTGCGCACTGGAAAACGTGGATATGTGAGAGACTTGGGATGTGCCCCATAATTCACCCAGTTCTCTGCAGCTTCAGCAGCAGTTGATTTCACTTAGTCAACTAACAGTGCACAGTAGGTGAACAATCACTAACTTTGGTGCACCTTCACATCTAATACAAAAATTCATGGGCGTTTAGCTTGGGCAGTGTTGACCATAAGATGCCTTCACATCAAAAATCCTGTGCTGTTTAGCAGAAATAAACTATTGTTTGTAAACCAGTTTACCTCTATGAAGTCAGCTAGGCAGTGACACTTCCTGTCAGTGTATTTCAGAGTCCCTCTCCCAAGTTGTGCACGCAGACCAGTTTAAAGTCACCCAAACGCTCAGGTGCGTTCTCCCTGCGCACTGTGAAGAACAGTGCGCATTGTTTATTAACAGTGAATGCTTTTAGATT